CAGATACTAACATGCCACACCATACGTCATAACAAAAACACTATTCGTCCTTACTGAAATAGCAGACACTAACATGCCACACCATACGTCATAACTGAAATAGCAAATACTAACATGCCACACCATACGTCACAACTGAAAGAGCAGATCCTAACATGCCACACCTTACGTGACAACTGAAATAGCAGATACTAATATGCCACACCCAGATACTAACATGCCCCACCATACGTCATAACTGAAATAGAATATACTAACATCCCACACCATAATAACTAAAAAAGCAGATGCTAGCATGCCACACCTTACGTAACAACCGAAATAGCAGATACTAACATGCCCCACCGTACGTCATAACTAAAAAAGCAGATGCTAACATGCCACACCTTACGTAACAACTGAAATAGCAGATACTAACATGCCACACCATACGTCATAACGGAAATAGCAGATTCTAACATGCCCCACCATACGACAAAACAAAAACACTATTCGTCCTTACTGAAGTAGCAGATACTAACATGCCCCACCGTACGTCATAACTCAAAAAGCAGATGCTAACATGCCACCCCATACGTCACAACTGAAATAGCAGTAACTAAAAAAGCAGATGCTAACATACCACACCTTACGTAACAACTGAAATAGAAGATACTAACATGCCACACCATAAGTCATAACTAAAATAGCAGATACGAACATGCCCCACCATACGTCATAACAAAAAAAGCAGATGCTAACATGCCACCCCATACGTCACAACTGAGATAGCAGATACTAACATGCCACATTATACGTCATAACTGAAATAGCAGATTCAAACATGCCCCACCATCCGTCATAACTAAAAAAGCAGATACTAACATGCCCCACCACACGTCATAACTGAAATAGCAGATTCTAGCATGCCACACCATACGTCATAACTAAAATAGCAGATGATAACATGCCCCATCATACGTCATAACAGAAACACCATTCGTCCTTACTGAAATAGCATATACTAACATGCCTCACCATACGTCATAACTGCAATAGCAGATTCTAACATGCCCCACCATACGTAATAACTGAAATAGCAGATACTAACCTGCCCCACCACACGTCATTACTAAAGAAGCAGATGCTTACATGCCACACTATACGTCATAACTGAAATAGCAGATCCTAACATGCCCCACCACACGTCATTAATAAAAAAGCAGATGCTTACATGCAACACCATACGTCATAACTGAAATAGAATATACTAACATCCCACACCATAATAACTAAAAAAGCAGATGCTAATATGCCACACCTTACGTAACAACTGGAATAGCAGATACTAACATGCCACCCCATACGTCACAACTGAAATAGCAGTAACTAAAAAAGCAGATGCTAACATGCCACCCCATACGTCACAACTGAGATAGCAGATACTAACATGCCACATTATACGTCATAACTGAAATAGCAGAGACTAACATGCCACACCATACGTCGCAACTGAAATAGCAGATACTAACAGGCCCCACCATACGTCATAACTAAAATAGCAGATGCTAACATGCCCCACCATATATCATAACTGAAATAGCAGATACTACCATGCCCCACCGTACGTCATAACTAAAATAGTAGATACTAACATGCCCCACCATACGTTATAACTGAAATAGCAGATACTAACAGGCCCCACCATACGTCATAACTAAAATAACAGATACTAACATCCCCCACCGTACGTCATAACTAAAAAACAAGATGCTAACATGCCACACCTTACGAACAACTGAAATAGCAGATACTACCATGCCACACCATACGTCATAACATGCCCCACCATTCGTCCTTACTGAAATATCAGATACTAACATGCCACACCATATGTCATAACTGAAATAGCAGATACTAACAGGCCCCACCATACGTCATAACTAAAATAGCAGATGCTAACATGCCCACCATACGTCATAACTGAAAAAGCAGATACTAACATACCCCTTACGTAACAACTGAAATAGCGGATACTAACATGCCACACGATACGTCATAACTGAAATAGCAGATTCAAACATGCCCCACCATCCGTCATAACTAAAAAAGCAGATACTAACATGCCACATTATACGTCATAACTGAAATAGCAGATCCTAACATGCCCCACCACACGTCATTACTAAAAAGGCAGATGCTTACATGCCACACCATCCGTCATAACTGAAATAGCAGATACTAACATTCCCCACCGTACGTCATAACTAAAAAACAAGATGCTAACATGCCACACCTTACGCAACAACTGAAATAGCAGATACTACCATGCCACACCATACGTCATAACTAAAATAACAGATACTAACATCCCCCACCGTACGTCATAACTAAAAAGCAGATGCTAACATGCCACCCCATACGTCACAACTGAGATAGCAGATACTAACATGCCCCAACATACGTCATAACTGAAATAGCAGATACTAACATGCCACACCATACGTCATAACTGAAATAGCAGATACTAACATGCCCCACCATATATCATAACTGAAATAGCAGATACTAATATGCCACACCATACGTTATAACTGAAATAGCAGATACTAACATGCCACACCATACGTCATAACTGAAATAGCAGATACTAACATGCCACACCATACGTCATAACTGAAATAGAAGATACTAACATGCCACACCATACGTCATAACTGAAGCATAAGTAAAAGAATGATACTTCATTACTGAAAAAAATAATAAAGGCATACCATACGCCATTGTTGTACACGCCACGCCGATACTGATAGGGACCATGGACACGAGATACACACCATGTGTTATTACTAAGAGAATACAGAAAGGTACACAAAGAGGCAATACTAATAGAATAGGCATGGGCAGACCACGCGTTAATATTGATAGAAAAGGGAACGGTACTAAGCGGCAAATGTTACAAGGCAATTGAATGGCCAATCAAAATAATTTGCAACAGTAAAACCACGATATACCACCCACAAGTTTCTCATTTAAGGATTGAATCTTGCTTTGGTCGATTTCATGGGGTGATGAATTGAGACTCAACTCAGTTCATCGCCCCATGAAATCGACCAAAGCATGATTCAATCCTTATATTTCAATCAACGTGTTTTTTCAATAATTGGATCTTGTAAAGTCCATTCTGATCGTTTGTCCCAGGTTCTGGAGCTTGTGCAAGTCTACGTATCGCCGTACAATGTAAAAACATATAGTCCGTCATTGCAGGAACATCATACAACATGATAGAGTGCGTTGATAGTTCAATTCAGCCAAAATATGTAGAAACAAAACACAAAACAATATTTTAAATGTTTTTTTGTTGATGAATTCATAAGATATCAAACTTCCTGATGCGTGATCGCGGAAGAATAATGTCTCGACGCGGTGCACAGACTCAGATGCTACAGCAGCCATCATTTTACTAGTTCGAAGTGGAGAGCCGCTAAATTGTGAATTGTGAATTATTGAATGTCGAATTAGACAGGAAACCAGACGTGGCTTGAAAGGACGAAACATTTTATATGACATGGCTGTTCGACTGTATTTCATATAAACGGGATCACATGGATCTACCACAGGGGTTCGTTACAAATGTTTGAAATACACATATGCTTTACTAATTTGGGTCACAGTACACAAAAACATACATTCATACACATATGATATACTGATATGGGTCACAGCATACATAAACATACACTTATATGTATGTTAATATGTGCTGTGACCCATGTCGGTTATAGCATGCTATGTGTATTTCGGACATTTGTAACGAACCCCTGTGAATCTACGTTGTTTTCGGTTTGTGCCTACTTACACACGGTAGAATGGGTAGCTGAAGGGAGAATTTCTAGGCCAGTATACATGACTTGTCATTACCGCTGGCAACCGTGAACTGATAATATTTTGCTGATTGATCGTTTTTGGTTGTTTTAACAATTTCTTCTGTTGCTTCAATAAAAATGTGAAATTTTGTTTAAACATGTCATTAGCTATCTCCCTTCGCAAAATCATACGCACAGGCAATGCTAATCTGGGCAAATCCATCGGCAAATGAAACGGGTTACATTTGGTAGTTGCATTGAGTCCAACTTGAGTAAGAATTGAAATATTAGCATTTATTTACCATCGAATGGTTACAGTGTATGAATGCCATGTACCGATTGTTGACGTCATCATTGTTATGACGTCATAATTGTTTCGTTGGATACTACTGACCCTCCCGGGCGACGGCTGTTCTATGCATTGGACAAGCATACACGATACATACATTATTTGGACTAAATGCTGAATAATAATAAGTGTTATCGATTTTTTTGTGAGATGAACAGATTCCAAAAATGGTAAATGTAAGTATCGAACTGCTTTCAGTTGTTATTCATAGGCAATATGAATTCCAACAGGACAAAGGCAAATCTTACATGAAGCGCTAGCGCGCTTCATTGCATTTGCCTTTGTCCAGATGGCAAAGCAGTTCAATGTTTAAATGAATCCCAAATAGCGATTGTTAATGACGTCGATGACACCGACTGACCCTGACACGTCACGAAATGGATTATTCTTGACATCACGAACAAAAGTGTGACCCCAAAAGGTCAATGTAATTCGGCCTCACTTTGAATATTTTTGACGTCATCAACCCACAGCAGAGAGACCCACAATTTGAAGAAAACATCTTAAAAGCGACGTTTCCTTCGGTGATTTTGGTTGATATGAAGAATTAGAAGGGGGATAACCCAACTGAATTCTGAATTTTGAAATTTGCGGCGGTATATCGTGATTATACTGTCACAGTTATACTGGCGACGCGGAAAAACTCAATTCGCGACAGTATAATCAGGATATACCTCAAAATTTCAAAATACAGTAGGGTTATCCCCTAAATAGTAGTCACGGACAAACAATATAATAAACATAAACAAGTAGACAAGCAACGGACACTTCCTACTTGCCCTGCAATAACTTAACAACCAACGCTACTCTAGGAGCTATATTTATTAGTCTCACAGCAAATGTCATATATTACTGAACACCCACATAATACATAACTGTCAGTTCTGGCGACGCAATGCTAAACAAAATCTTCAGCAAAGGGTAAGCATGTCCGCTGATTGTATACTTTGTACAAGCGTAAATGTAAATAACTGTTTTCTAGTTCGTCGATTTGCTGTTAAGAATAATTGCAGTGGTTTAGTATCTGAATCTCAGTTCAGCAAAGGTCCCCCAACACATTGATCACAGGAAAGCTCAAAATTTAATATCATGGTTAGACCCGGAAACAATATTTCATGAAGTTTAAAGCAATTATAACGACATAAAAGTAACGTTATTATTCTAACTAAAATCACAGCTGTTTGGCTACATATATAAATTGATGACTGTTTTTTCTGATTATCCAGCAGTGTCCGTCATGTTGCTCCATTCGGCTCTTTAAATTCCCATGTTGTCCATCTCCCTGGACATCTGGCAAACAGCGCACATGTAGCAGCAGGACAGGGCAAAAATATCACCCAGGATGCTTCCCTAGAAAATAGAGCAAACACAAACATATCACATAGGATACTTCCATAGAAAATAGAGCAAACACAAACATATCACCCAGGATACTTCCATAGAAAATAGAGCAAACATATAGGATCTTACACTCGTTTCCATTTCTTATGAGATTTATGAAACGAGTCTAAGAACTTTTCAATTTAGCGAGCCTTTGGCGAGCTAAAATGAAAAATTCGTGACGAGTTTAATAAATTTCAGGCGAGCTAAATTAAAAAATTCGTGAAGAGTTTCATTAATTTCATATGAAATCAAAATGAGTGCACGATCATTTTTATCACATAATCAAGATTTGTGGCATCTATTCGTGTAAAAACGACAATTTTCATGCAACCTTGAAATGTAAAAAGCCGCCATTTTGACTCCAGTGCGAAAGTCTATGGCGTCATGTACTTGTCCTAGGCGTGACGTCACAATTGAAACAATTGAAACTTTCAAACAATCACAGGGCTGATAGGTCATATTACATGGGTTAATACGCAAAATAATATAACATGGGTATATTCACTGAATAACACAGTACATCATGTGATAAACAAATATATCACCCAGGATACTTCTCTGGAAAAAAGAGCAAATACAAAAATATCACCCAGGATACTTCCCTGGAAAATAGATCTAGAGCAAACACAAACATATCACACAGGATACTTCCCTGGAAAATAGAGCAAACACAAAAACATGCCATACAGGATACTTCCCTAGTAAATAGAGTAAACACAAACATATCACACAGGATACTTCCCTGGTAAATAGAGCAAACACAAACATATCACCCAGGATACTTCTCTAGTAAATAGAGTAAACACAAACATATCACACAGGATACTTCCCTGGTAAATAGAGCAAACACAAACATATCACCCAGGATACTTCCCTGGTAAAAAGAGCAAACACAAAAATGTCACACAGATTAACTCCCAGGAGAAGATAACCAACACAAAAATATCATCCAAGTAATTCACTAGAATTTAACAATCACAAAAATAACACAAAAGATATTTTTGATATGTCACATTTACTTCCTTGGAAGGTATCAAACAAGATTGTATCCCACAAGATAATATCAAACACATAAATATCACAAAAGTTACAAAATTCGATAATTTAACACACCAAAACCAGTTTCATTTAAGCGACTTTACTTGAAACACCACAAAAGATATAGATGTACGTAAACATGTAAAGAGGAATAAAGGGTAAATGACCACGTGTATTTTTTGTAGTTTTGGGATCCTGATGATTAAGACTACAGTTGAGTATTAGTTGATACCCAGTTTGACCGCGCTTTATATTTCATTTGTTTAAAGTATCGAAAGAATTGGAAGTGCCATTATGCAGGCGTCAAATGTCCAACTCCCCTCTGTCTACCCCAACGTGTCCCCATATCCGCATTTTTATCTCACAATGTTATATCGCATATAAATCCAATGCTGAAAATAAATCCGGAGTACGTCTTAGTCGAACCCTGGACAATTTTAAACAAAGTTAGCGCTGCACAAACAAAAATTGTGGACAAACCCATGAACGAATTATATTAATTTTTCCAAAGAATTTCCATTTGGATGACTTTTGTCACGTACACAAGCATAGTAGCATCCCGAACTTCAAAGAAATGTTGCAACTATCAATCCGGAACGGCTGTACTTTTTTGGTAAATGTTTGTCGAAGTTTGGAAAGCGTTTGACACCGTGTACATATAAGGACTTTTAAAATTAGTATTACTAATGAACTACTATAAGTAAGATTTTATCTGTATGCAAACACAATTTAGGTTAGAATTATATACCATATGTTGGATTTGATTTACCTGTAACGGATTTTGTGTCCGAATTGTGTACCAGCAAACGGTTGAAAAACGGTCAAATTACAAAATAACATTACTTTATAGGCTATATTAATAGCTTGGTGTGTTCTTTAATGTATATGCATGGAATTAAGCTACCGTTCTTTATCGATCGTCATGTGAATCCAATTTAATTATAGTATGACCTCTTGTAGTACACATTGTGCCATCCTCGATATCCAGGGGTTACACTCAGGTCATAGCAAAACTGAAGGCACGAAGATAGCTGTTTGAGTGGTCTCGGGTGAAAAAACATGACCAATCGCTAGGCTGATACATATGTACCTGTTCTTTGAAGTTTACAAAGGAGAGACGCCTGACTTCAAAGCCTGTCAATTTTTATCGTTACCTGACCGCGATATTCTTTTGATGTATTTCAAAGGATCGAACAAGCCTTCAATATTGCTATGACATATTCCAGGGGTGCAGAGTGCGAAAGTGAGCTTAACCCTTGGATATCGAGGATGACATTGTGCCTGAGTGCCTTAATAAAATCTTAAATTTTCAAACACACGTTTATTTATAACTTAAAATAACAAGAGGCCCAAGGGCCTTAGCGGTCACCTGAGTTATATCATAGGCACTGGTAGCTTTATTTTATTGTTTAGATGTGATGTGGAAATCAGCATGTAAACTAAGTGAAATACAATACTTGTCATGTCATCAAAGGATAAGAATTTTAAAATATTGGTAAATGTTCCATTTGGGGCCCCACCCTTGCCCCTGGGGATGGGGCAGGAATTCCAATTACAATGTAATACCCTCATCCACCAAAGATGATTCTGACCAAGTTTGAATAATTTTCTGCTGAAAATGGATAAAATATGCCCAAAAGTGTTATTTCCCTATATAAACCATAGTAAACTTTACCCCCTCCTCAAGGGGGAACGGATGGCTCAGGGGTCCTGAAATTGACAATTTCAATAAAGATCCTGATGATCTTTCTATCCATGCACTGAAATTGACTGTAATATCTCTTAGTCTGGAGAAGAAGATTTTTGAAATAATGGTAAATTTTCCCTTTGGGGTCCGGCCCGCCCTGGCCCATAGGGTTGGGGTAGGAATTCCAATTTTACATTTTAAAACCATCTTCCTCCAAGGATAATTCTCACCAAGTAACAATAATTTCCTATAGAAAATTGTCAAAATATACCCAAAAGTGTTGTTTCCCTATACAAACTATAGTAAACTTTACCCCCTCCCCACTGTAAAAATAAAAAGGGGGTTACAACAGACCAGAAACACAAAGGGAAGGAAAACGATTGGAAATGAACGATACTAGAGGAGAGTACATGGAAAATTGGTATTGAAAACACTGATTTACCCGTATTCCGCCGAGAGTTCTAAGGCGAGCCCGCATGGCGATGTTTGTAACCGGACAGCAGTGTGGCAACAGACAACACTCTCCGAGCCGTGAGGCATTCCTACACTCCATACACGGCAGACAGAAATACGTGGCCATGCCTGTGGGGTAACATCAAGCATTCATACAACATTACCAGTATGAAGTGTAAATACAATACTACATTACCAATGGTATACCAAAAGTAACAATTCAACATAACAAATGGTATACCAAAGGTAACAAAACAACATTACCAATGGTATACCAAGGGTAACAATACAACATTACCAATGGTATACCAAAGGTAACAATACAACATTATCAACGGTATACCAAAGGTAACAATAAACCATTACCAATGGTATACCAAAGGTAACAAAACAACATTACCAATGGTATACCAAAGGTAACAATAAACCATTACCAATGGTATACCAAAGGTAACAAAACAACATTACCAATGGTATACCAAAGGTAACAATAAACCATTACCAATGGTATACCAAAGGTAACAAAACAACATTACCAATGGTATACCAAAGGTAACAATAAACCATTACCAATGGTATACCAAAGGTAACAAAACAACATTACCAATGGTATACCAAAGGTAACAATAAACCATTACCAATGGTATACCAAAGGTAACAAAACAACATTACCAATGGTATACCAAAGGTAACAATAAACCATTACCAATGGTATACCAAAGGTAACAATACAACATTACCAATGGTATACCAAAGGTAACAATAAACCATTACCAATGGTATACCAAAGGTAACAATAAATCATTACCAATAGTATACCAAAGGTAACAATACAACATTACCAATGGTATACCAAAGGTAACAATAAACCATTACCAATGGTATACCAAAGGTAACAATAAACCATTAACAATGGTATACCAAAGGTAACAATAAACCATTACCAATAGTATACCAAAGGTAACAATACAACATTACCAATGGTATACCAAAGGTAACAATAAACAATTACCAATGGTATACCAAAGGTAACAATAAACCATTAACAATGGTATACCAAGGGTAACAATAAACCATTACCAATAGTATACCAAAGGTAACAATACAACATTACCAATGGTATACCAAAGGTAACAATAAACCATTACCAATGGTATACCAAAGGTACACAATACAACATTACAAATGGTATACCAAAGGTAACAATATAACATTACAAATGGTATACCAAAGGTAACAATACAACATTACCAATAGTATACCAAAGGTAACAATACAACATTACAAATGCTTAACTTTGGTAAATGATTAATTTAAGAAGCAATTATATTATAGCTAGTTGTTAATGATAAATCTAAGTAACAATTATATTATAGCTAGTTGTTAATGATAAATCTAAGTAACAATTATATTATAGCTATTTGTTAATGATAAATCTAAGTAACATCAATATTATAGCTATTTGTTAATGATAAATCTAAGTAACAATTATATCATAGCTATTTGTTAATGATAAATATAAGTAACAGTTATATTATAGCTATTTGTTAATGATAAATATAAGTTACAGTTATATTTTAGCTATTTGTTAATGATAAATATAAGTAACATCAATATTATAGCTATTTGTTAATGATAAATCTAAGTAACAATTATATTATAGCTAGTTGTTAATGATAAATCTAAGTAACAATTATATTATAGCTATTTGTTAATGATAAATCTAAGTAACATCAATATTATAGCTATTTGTTAATGATAAATCTAAGTAACAATTATATCATAGCTATTTGTTAATGATAAATATAAGTAACATCAATATTATAGCTATTTGTTAATGATAAATATAAGTAACAGTTATATTATAGCTATTTGTTAATGATAAATATAAGTAACAGCTGCTTTCACCCTTCACAGGGCTCTTCAAGTTTATTCAAAAGAATATATATAAAGTTGCATCTAGTAATGCTTATACATTTGCTACAACATATTACACTTGTACCTACATATTAATATGAGGCAGATAACACAGAGAAAGTGATTCGGGGGAGGGGGGTTCTAGAATCTGAGTCATTTTATTGCTGAGTATGCATAAATATAATTTTGTTATCTTGTTCCGAAAAAGAAGTATCTCCAAAAAGAAATCGATGCTAGTTGAAAGGTATGTATTCATTAAGTTCACGATTATGCTTAATTCTGTGTTTAATATCGTTACGTTTACTTGTATCACAGGTAAAATAGATGGGTGTCTCAAAATAGATAACTTTTTAAAGCACTAGAATGTTTTCTAAATTTTGTGTGTGAAATGTTGCTTCTGAACGATGAAAATGAATCACTACGTCCGATACCAATTTTGGTAAATGGTTCCATAGTCTAATTGTAGCAGGAAAAAGGAGATACGCTGGATATTTTGGGTCTGTTGTTAGGTAAGTTATAGTTTCAGCGTTTCGAAGGCTATATTGAGAGTTATCGACAAGGGAAGGAAGTAAAGTGTTAAGATAGTTGGGAGCTATTTAATAATGAATTAAGGAAAATTACTGAATTTTGATTAAATCATTGCTATTGATTTATAATAAATAGCCATTAATCAAAGAATATTGGTTAATAAGAAGTTAAAATTACTTAGAGAACAATTAAGTTTTCATTATGGTTATATTGGTTAATGATAAGTTAATCAATATTACTGCTTAAAGATAAATAACCATTAATCATTGTTATTGGCTATTGATAAATTAGCATCACTCATTGTTATTGGTTAACAATTAAACTACCATTAATAATTGGTATTGGTTAATTAAAGGTTAAAATACTACCTAACTAAGAGTGCAGTGTATTATTTTTTCTGGTTATATTGGTAAATGATGAATTACCGTTAATCATTGTAATAATTTAACAAATCAACGAATATTGGTAAATGAAAAGTTAAAATACGACCTAACTTAGAGTACAATTGGTATTTATTCATTACGCCAATACATCATTACTAAACAAGAGTTCCGCGAGACGGTACATGATACGCCCTTCAGATGTAGAATGAGCAGTTTGCCACAAAGGGCCATATGTGTATAAATTTTGGAGAGATAAGCGTCAAATCTTATCAAGCTTGTCCGAGCTTTCATTGCAATGAATCTTCCTACCAAGTTTGAAATTTATCCATTCAAAATCACTCAAGTTATGGTTAATGCAAGCCTTCATAGAAATAAACCTTAAGTTATTGAGCAGAAACTGTTACGTCAATTCTATAAAGGGCCCCTTAATAACAGGCGGATAATGGTTATCGAAGCTTTCATAGAAATGAACCTTCCTATGAAGTTTGAAATTAATCTATTCAAAATTACTGAAGCTATTGAGCGGACATTGTTTCGGCAATTCTTCAAAGGGCCATAACTGTGTAAATAACTGGTAAATAATTTTGGTTATCGAACTTGTCCGAGCTTTTATAGTAATGAACCTTCCTATGAAGTTTGAAATTAATCCATTCAAAATTACTCAAGTTATAGAGCGGAAACTGTTTCGGCAATTCTACAAAGGGACATAACTCCGGAAATAAATGGCAAATAATTTTTATTATCGAACTTGTCCAAGCTTTCATGGTAATTAACGTTCCTATTAAATTTAAAATGAATCCATTCAAAATTACTCAGGTTATTGAGCGGAAACTAATGTGTGCCCCGCCCGCCGGCCTGCTCGCGTGAAAACATAATACGTACCGTCTATCGACGGGCGTATACAAAGCATATATATATCTATACAAATGTTAAACCAATACATTAGTATTAAAAGTATGGATAGGGTGATACAAAATGTATCATACAAATCTGAATACTACAGGGTGATTTTTTTTTAATATTATAAATTATCACACAAATACTAAATTTAAGAGTGCGGTAACAATTTATCAGCTGATGGTATAGATGATAAAACATTTCATCTTAACTCATGATACAGTTAAACAATACAGTGATGCTGGTTAGTGATAGCTGAAATATAAGTATACATACATGACCCACAGTCCGAGAAACAACCGAGCAGGCCTGTAGACCATTCCCTGTGTCCGTTAACATCGCCAATCCTCTGGGGGAGAGGCTGATGCATCACCGGGTAAGTAGCCATGGTTTCAGATTTTAACGAACTGCAGAATAAAAAACAAAACTAATATAAGCACGAATTCGATGAACGGTTTGCTTTAAAAAACAATTCTATTACACTTTTTGTTTCTCCTACCAATTGTCGTCTATAGTAGGCATAACACATCGTACTTCGTTTATAGTAAGCCAATGAAAGGTTGTCTATAGGATTATTTCTAATTATGTATTTCTTGCTTTCTTATTAATTAACTGATTTACTTATCGATATATTTGGACAAGGCTACCAATATGAGTTGAAACAAGACACAGCTGTCAGGTAATGATTTATGATAAATATTTGTTAATTCAGTCAGGTAATATTTGATTTCGACATTTTAACAATTTTTTTAAATTAGTGTTTTTATAGAATAAAATTAACAAATATACAAAATTGAATATATCACCGTATCTAGCTAGGATAAGCCACTTTATATCGCTTAACAGTACGTAGATTTATACAAACAATACACTTAACATATACAATAAACAAGAGGTCCAATGGACCTGTATCGCTTACCTGGTTTTATATTTAAGTCAATCTGATTAAAATCATCTGTTCAGGCGTAGTACGAAATTAACGAAGCCATGTAACATATGATTTTAATCAGATTGATATTTAAGTCATTACAACTGAATGCATTAGTACATCTTTATATGAAATTTCCTCAAAACCAGACAAGATCTATGTTCTAACCAAACTGGGACCACAATATCTGACTTTCAACTAATCAGAGGCCTCCATTGAGTTGCCATGTTAACAGATTTTGAAATAGGTAATATGTCAAATTACAGGGTGTAACTAGAACTAGAGCCCCGTCTTGTGGCAATATATCCCCCATAATCATCAAGAAGCAATCTGCCCATATAGCTGAGCTTGAGGTCTGACATTTGGACTTCAAAAGGAAGCAAAATATACATTTTACATGTACTATGATGTGAGACTTGTTTCCTTCCACCTACATATTTGCTGGGCTAACAGAAATGTAAATACCGGTGCAATACTCATTTGTTAGCTTTGATATGTTTTATTTCACCTTAAATACCTCCTCCATCAAGAGCCAGGGTCAAAGTCAGAAATCCACTTTGTCTTTGACCTTTGGACCCAAATGACCTGGCCTTTAGTCCAGTGATCCTGATCTTTGGTCAGTTGACTTATTCTTTAATTCCGACCAACTTTGCTTCATAGTATCATAACAAAATGTTCATCAGTGAAAAATACAAATCTTGACCTTAACCTTGAACCTTAGGACCCCGTAACCTAGACCCGAGGTCAGTTGACTCCGTGTTAAGTTCTTAACAACTTTGCTTCATAATAACATAAAAATAATGTTCATCAGTAAAAACATACAATATTTGACCTTGATATTGACTCAGTGACCTTGACCTTAAGTCAGTTGAACTTTGTTTAATTCCGACCAACTTTGCTTCAAAGTGTCATAACGAAATGCAACCAGTGAAATGATACTTGATTTGACCATGACCTTTGAGCCAGTGACCTTGACCATAAGTTAGTTGACTCTCTGTTAAATTCCGACCAACTTTGCATTATAATGTCATAACAAAATATTCATCAGGGAAACGATACAAAATTTGACTTTGACTTTTGACCCAGTGACCTTGACCTTTAGTCAATTGACTCCTTGTTTAATTCTGAGCAACATTGCTTCAAAGCGTCATAACGAAATGTTCACCAGTGGAAAGATACAAAATTTAACCTTGACCTTTGACCTAATGACATTGACCTTTAGTCAGTTGACTCCTTGTTGAATTCTGGCCAACATTGCTTCTTAGTGTCAACCCAAAATGTTCATCAGTGAAAAGATACAAAATTTGACCTTGACCTTTGACCCAGTGAACATGGCCTCTGATCTTGACCTTTGGTCAGTTGACTCCTAGTTTAATTATGATCAACTTTGCTTCATCATGTCATAACAAAATGTTCATCAGTGAAAAGATGCAGAAATTCACCTTGACCTTTGAACCTTATGACCTTGACCTTTGACCTCGACTTTTTACCTCAGTCTGGCTCTTTGTTTAATTCCGACCAACTTTGCTTCATAATCTCATAAAATGGTCATTAATAAAAAGCTACAAAATTTGACCTTGACCATTGAACTATACCTCTGACCCATGACCTTGACCTTCGGTCAGTTGACTGCTTGTTTAATTCTAGTCAACTTTGCCTCATCATGTCATAACAAAATGCTCAACAGTGAAAAGATGCAGAATTTGACCTGGACCTTTGAACCTTATGACCTTGACTTTTTACCTCAGTGTGTATTTTTGTATACTGAACATCTTGACCAAGTTTCAAGTAAATCGGTCAATTAACACTAAAGTTATCAGCCAGGAACAAAATTTGTGGACGGACGGACAGACGGACAGACAGACAGACGGACGGACGGACGGACGGACGGACGGACAGAGTGATTACTATAGGGCATCCATATCTCCGATACGGGGCCCTAATTAGACAATACTTTAATTTTCATTCAACTATAAGCATTTATAAACCTACCAACCAATTTTTAACAATTTATGAAAACTACATCAAAGAATATGATAATCTAGCTGTACCATTTCTTAGCACCGAAAGGGTGAAATCAACCACATTCAATTAAGAAATGTTTGTTCTTCCTTAATAATGTTTTTGACCAAATCTTGTACAATCCACTCAGGCAATTAGGAGATATAAGCGTCTTAAAGCAATATATTCCTAGCCCCAGAGTCGAACCAGTCTCATTTATTTAGGAAATGATTGCCCTACCCCAATGAAGTTTCAGAGCAAATTTGGTTTAAATCCTCTCTGGCGTTAGGCAGGAGATACGTTTTAAAGCAAATTTAGCTAAGTTCCCCTAAAGGGCCCCGCCCCTCTAGCCCTAGGGGTCGAACCAACCTCAGTTTTTAAAGAAATGATTGCTCTCCCCTAGTGATGCTTCTGACTAAATTTGGTTGAAATCCTCTTTGGCGTTTAGGAAGAGATAGGTTTTAAAGAAAAAGTTGACGACGGACGCTGCGCCACGGCATGGACTCACTTGCCCTTCGGGCAGGTGAGCTAATAATGTCTAAATCAATGCAATTTTGTGGAATTTGCTGCTTTATCAGGCGCTAACTACTAGTCATATGCCATTTGGCTAACATAATATTTCCCTATGTGTATGCGTGAGTTTGTTTGTGAGATGTATTGTTTTCTTTTGTAGTAGGACCGTGCTTCCAACGGCATCTTTTTTCAGTGTCACCTCACTTGAATGCTACAGCACAGATACCGCAACACCAACCCCAGACCATTTTATATTCCACCTGGGTTGATGGAGTTGTATGGGCAGAAGAAAAACACTTTCTCTGAATATCAAATATGTACGACGATTTCGGGGGTCGAACCCCGGTCGCCTGCGAGGAGGGCTGGAGTGTTTATCACCCAGTCAATCCGCCCAGTAATTTACGCATTGTTATTACAGTTGTAATTGCCATATTATTTTTATTTTTGACAATTGCTTTTATGGCATCAATAATGTGATCACGTGATTCAAGTTTGAACATAAGTTCAGGGTACAAGATTATGTGCCTACTACACGCTTTTTTTATAGTTTAATCAATCAAAGAGTTTAGACCTCCTCCATGGTACATGTACGTACCCTCGATTAAAAAATACTGCCATTCTCGTCTAGTCTTAACATGTATTTTTAAATAGTAGTTATGAGCGGCATGGTTATCAAGGTTTCAATTCCAATATAATCTGATGTAAGACATCCCTGTGTCTCTGTGATAAAAGACAGTGCTTTTAAAGAAAGTAGAAACACGAGAAGTATTGACATAGTCAATACAATGTAGGCCATGGTTAACTATATAGCTAGATACACGTCGTTTAATACACGAGACAGGGAATTCCACATGTGTGAAGTGTTTATCAAGGTTTCCTATATTTTATTTTATTTACAATCTGCAGAGAACCTGATATGTTGACCGAGGGATAATATTGATTTTGTATTATTTTACAGTTGACTATGTCAATACTTCTCGTGTTTCTACTTTTTTTATGGACCGATTATTTTTTGGTGGTTAAAAAAGTTTATTTTAACAAGACTATTACTATATTGTTGTCTGGCTTATACGAGTTATGTCTGTTAGTAAGAGGAAGGGTACGTAGCTCCCTCTATAAAACAAATCAGTAAGTTACAGTGTACATACCTTTCTCTACAAAACTAATAATAAGTAATAAGAGACATACCCTACTCTACACACTTAATGGTAAGTGAAATAATGAGTACCTCTCTTTACAAACTTAATGGTAAGTGAAATGAAATAAGGAGTACCTCTCTCTACACACTTAATGGTAAGTGAAATAAGGAGTACCTCTCTCTACACACTTAATGGTAAGTGAAATAAGAAGTTCTTCTCTCTACACACTTAATGGTAAGTGATATAAGGCGTTCCTCTCTCTACACACTTAATTGTAAGTGAAATAAGGAGTGCCTCTCTCTACACACTTAATGGTAAGTGATATAAGGAGTGCCTCTCTCTACACACTTAATGGTAAGTGACATAGGGCGTACATCTCTCTACACACTTAATGGTAAGTGATATAAGGAGTACCTCTCTCTACACACTTAATGGTAAGTGAAATAAGGAGTACCTCTCTCTACACACTTAATGGTAAGTGAAATAAGAAGTTCTTCTCTCTACACACTTAATGGTAAGTGATATAGGGCGTACATCTCTCTACACACTTAATGGTTAGTGATATAGGGCGTACATCTCTCTACACACTTAATGGTTAGTGATATAGGGCGTACATCTCTCTACACACTTAATGGAAAGTGACATAGGGCGTACATCTCTCTACACAGATAATGGTAAGTGACACAGGGCGTACATCTCTCTACACACTTAATGGTAAGTGATATAAGGGGTGCATCTCTCTACACACTTAATGGTAAGTGACATAGGGCGTACATCTCTCTACACACTTAATGGTAAGTGACATAGGGCGTACATCTCTCTACAC